CGAGGAACTACAACCAAGATTACTCTACCAGCAAAGCTATCATTTAGAACTGAAGGTCAGATAAAGAGCTTCACAGATAAGAAAAAGCTAAAGGAGTTCATCACCACCAGACCAGCACTACAGGAAATGTTGAAGGGTCTTCTTTAAGAAGCAGCTAATGAACAAAAGAATCTGACCAATTAAATAGATCCAGAGATATTGATGCATGCAACAGATGATCATATTTCAGAGGAAAGAGGGAAGGAGGGTCGGAAGAGATTAACTAAAGAAGTTATATGCATATATGCATAACCCATGGACACAGTCAATAATGGGGTGAAGGCCTGGGGAGGGGGTGGGAGCGAGGGGGAGGGGGTCAATTGGGGGGNATGCATATATGCATAACCCATGGACACAGTCAATAATGGGGTGAAGGCCTGGGGAGGGGGTGGGAGCGAGGTGAAGGGGGTCAATTGGGGGGAAAAATGGGACACCTATAATACTTTCAACAATAAAGATAAATTAAAAAAAAAAAAAGAACAGGAACTATCTTTAGTATGTATTGCCTTGCATCTTGTGATCTATTTTTATTAAACTAATGCTAAATAATGATAAAAATCCTATTTGGATCAGACTGCTTTTAAAGGCCTGGGACTATAACCCATGGTGTCCTTTGGACCTGACAAGCAATTGATGTACTAAGTTAATTCTGTTGAATCTTACTCAGCCTTCTACTTGAAGGGGAATTCCAAAACTTTCCTCAAAAGATTTTTCCATTGCTAAATATCTTGAATTTTCCCAAGTATTTAGATTAACAAACATTTTCCACTGGATTTCAAGCTTCTTGCTACTCAGTCGAGTAAAGACTGAGAGTGTTCTTCTTTAGGTGATTTCAGATTAACTGGGCAGGCCTTACATTGTGCTAACCTACTGAGTCCATAGCAGTTTTTAATTTTAAAAAATTTCTTAAGCCTAATAATCTACAGGCTCATCCTGTATGAAGTCACTATAGTCTAAACAGTGCCAAATTACCTACTCAGTGCTCTGCCTTCTGTTACAAGAAAATACCCTAGGCCTTCTCCAGACAGCCTTTGGTCTATTCCAACAGGAATGTGTCCCTCACCCCATACTTACCCCTCCACCCTACCTGGTAGGTTCCTTTCAGTTACTTCTGCCTTCATCCTTTTTCACTGCCTTCCCTTGGGAATAGAAGTGCTTCACCTGGCCCTTTGTTTGCCATTTATCACAATCTTTCTCAAGCTCTCCTTCTTCCTCTCCACCCCCTTTTTTTCTGGTGGGGTAATCCCTACTGTCGCCTCTGCATGAGCTAACGTAGAGGAGGTTGGGGGTCACTTACCTTTATCCAAACCAATCAGAAATCCCTATTCGTAAATCACACTATGCAAGGATGTTTTTACAGCTCTTGCCTCATTAACTTAGAACCTAATATAAATAGGAACTATGTCCTTTAGGATTTCTTAAGCAATCATTAAAACAAACACACCAAAATTGGGCCCTTAAGTGGACCTAATATAAAAGAACAGGCAGCCCAAATAATTCCACATGCTCTGCTTCTGTTTCCAGATATTCTTTTTTGGCTTTCATGGGAGAATGCTCATGGCAGAAACCTGAGTGCACTAGCCTATACAGGTGACCTGGGATCATCACATTGTACTGATTCTGTACATCAGTGAGTCAAGAATGGCCAAAAGAGGAGATGTTACTGGTGTAGGTGGGTGAGGCAACCTGAGTTTTGTGGGGTTGACAAAGTATGTTTGAAGAAAGTGAAGTTCTGAATATGAGAGAATACCGATAAATTGGGGAAGCACTAATTGTTTTGTTTTCTTAGTAGTGACACATTTGCCATCAGCCAGCCAAATGTTCCAGCCAGGTTTTCCTTATGACCAATAACATTTGAGAGACAGTTGGCTGAAATGAAGAGTTCAACCTGTGGCCAATAAATAGTTTTAGTTTTACTTTGTGTGAAGTTAATAACACCCTGGTGTGTGTTAAAACCAATTTTTGACCTTTTGAGTGCTGTGATTTTAAAAACTCAGCTAATTATTTCTATATTGAGCTACATAATGCTTAACATTCAGAGTTTTAAATATAATTAAGTCAAAATTAATCACTACTTTCTAGAGAAAGTATCTTACTACATATTTCATTCTAGGAAAAAAGTATAAATTTGGCTACTTAATAGTAGGGTACTCTGAGATCCTTAGGGAATATAAAATGAAACAGAAAGTCTCGTCATGACTTACATCAGATCAGGGCGGTATCTATGAATAATTGCACACAGAGCCAGGCCACTTTTCCAAGACATGGTGAGATCTGTCACATTGACCCCTGTGTAGCCATCTGTCTGCCTTTGGCACCAACCAAGCAGTTTGCTTGAACGAGGTACAGACTCTAAAAGAACAAAAATAATGAAAGTGTGGTCACCTAGCAGCATTAATATGAGATCCTCTTTGTAGTACACATATCCAGTTTGAAAAATTACTGAAGGTTGTAAGGTATTGTGATAAATAAGCTATAGATGTCACAGAATCCTCATTACCATAATGTGAGGTAGGTGTTTCCCTCATTTCATAGACAAGGAATAGAAGTTCAGAGATAATATATAACCTGTTCAAGATCACACACTTCACAAATGGCAAAGCTTGGACTGGGACCCAGTTGTACCTGACCCCAAAGTAAGATTATGGTCCACTGTCCTCTTTCCATCCTCAACATCAATACCAGATTTAGGCCTTTAAAACTGTTAGCTGATTATTGTAATGGCATTCACCTTCTCCATCCCATCTCACATGTAAAGGTATACTCACGTCACTATCCTTTAAAACAAATCTTCAGGGGCCCTTCAATACACACAAAATATGGGATGGTCTTTATCTCTGACACTGTATCCTGGCAGTATCTCAGTTAAGACGCTGCTGCTTCTTCCATAAAGCCTTACCCCCAAACCTTAGCTGACGTACGTGTGTGCCTGCATGCTCTCCTTCTCTCTTTTTCTTTCTCTTTCTCAATAGCATCTGTATCTGGTTTCTCTTTATATCCTCATAATACCCTAGACCAAGGTTTCTCAACCTTGACACTACTGCTATTTTTGGCTGGGAGCTGATTTGTGCACCGTAGGTTTACCTGCAACCTTGAATGCCAGTAGCATCCTCCCCAACTCATGACAATAAAAAATGTCTCCAGAAACTACCAAATGTCTTCTACGGGGCAAAATCACCTCTGATTGAGAAACTACTGCCTTACACAATAAGAGCTCAATGAATAATTATAGACTTCTTTGAATAGGTTACCTGCATTTCAAAAGGGCATTACTAGAACTTACCATTGCGAGTCAACTTTGGAGTAGTTCGGGAATTCACCAGGTTCTCCATCTCTAGGTGAATATCTTTTGTTTCTCCAGTATCATATAAATGGCGCACCTGGCAGAAAGGTAAAAAGTTGTAAAGAAGGAAAATCAAACACCAAGTAACAAATTCCCACCTGAGAAGAGAATGACAGGTGAAAGACTGGGATAGCAGAATAGCAAAGTTTAAACAGAAGTTATGATGATGACCTTTAAATCCTTTCTGGAATGTGGTGGGGTTACAAATAAACAAATACATATTAACTGTCGGAAGTTGTGCTAAAAATTCACTACTCAGCCACAGAAGTCCCTTTGATAATCTCTGTTGGACCTATTTTGGGGAAAAAAAAAAAAAAAATCTACTTTTTTATAGACAATACATATAGTAAAGCTTGATGCATTTTTATAAATGAACTTACCCATATAACAACCCAGATCAAACTACAACATCTCCAGCCTTGCAGTCAGTATTCTGATCCCAAAGGTTACCACTATTCTGATTTGTATCATCAAGGATTAGTTTTGCTTGTTTTTGAACTTTATATAAATGAAATTATACAGTACATATTCTTTTGTGTATGGATTCTTTTTTTTTCTTTAATGTATGTTTATTGATTTCAGAAAGAGAAAGGGAGAGAGAGAGAAACATCAATGATTAGAGAGAGTCACTGATTGGCTGTCTCCTGCATGCCCCCTACTAGGAGTCAAGCCTGCAACCTGGGCATGTGCCCTGACTGGGAATCGAACCATGATCTCCTGGATCATTAGGTTGATGCTCAACAGCTGAGCCATGCCAGCTGGGCTGTGTGTGGATTCTTTTATGCATTGTTAATGTCTCTGAGATTCATTCATGTTGAATGTAGCAATAGTTTAGTCTTTTTCATGACAGTACATGTTCCATCATATAATACACTACAATTATTTTTTCATTCTACTGCTGATGGATGTTGAGGTTGTTTCCAGTTTCCACATGTTATGAATAATGCTCATTATGTGTTTTTTGGTGCTCATATGCACTTGTTTTGTTGGGTACATTGGACCACTAGTGCTGCCCTCTAACAGCAGGTTTCATGGATACCAAGTACAGAAGGTCTAAAGGTGTCAACTTCAGGTAGAGAGTGAATAAAAAATTACACTAGAACATAAGCAAATATGTTGAATGGGCTACTTTCTAAAAACTGGTGGGCTCTTTGGGATAATTATGCTTTGTAAAATTATCATAACTTCTGTCTAAACTATGTCATTCTTAATGTAGTTATTAGGCTTTAGACATTCTGAGAAATAACTCAGTACAAAAAAATGACCAACAATATCCTTTACTTGTAGAGAGTGTCTTTTCTTTCAAAGTTCTTTCCAGTGAACAATCTCAGTTGTCCTCACAATGATCCTGTGAGTAGGAGGGATGATCACCTTCATTTTACAAATAAAGAAACTGAGGTTCAGAGAAAGTGAAATGACCTCTCCAAGTTACAAGAGACTGGTGATGATAATGCAAGTGGGTCACATTTCCTCACTAGTGAACAAGTGCTCTTTCTCTACAAGATACCACTTGAATCAGGAGACCTGGGATAGAGTCCTGGATCTACCATTTTTGTCACATTTGATCTTCTGGTAAGTCATTCAACAACTTTAGCTGCTCAGTCTGTTGATGGAAAATAATATCTACTTCAACCAACTCAGAGAGACATCTACTTGAATTTACTGAGATAAGTGTTGTCTAAATGTTTGTTATTAATAGGCACATTTCAATATTCAGAGGTCTGATCAGTCCTAAAAAGGACCCAGATGTAGATCACTGACTAGAAGGTGCTTACCTGGCTTGGCCGGAGGAAGTTGATGTTAATATTGGGATATCTGGTCACAGGGTCTATGCTGTATTGGCTGAAGTTTTTACTCACATTCTCAGGGGTGGTCTGAGGCAGCAACCTATAAATGCTTTCCCTGCAATAACACAGCAATATACTCAGAGCATGACAAGCACCATGAACATCTTCCTCTCCTTTGAGAATATTTCTACTTTTTAAAAGTTCCCAAATTATCTGAAGGATATGACAAATCCTCATCCTTGACCAGTTTCCTCCAATCCTACATTAGCTCTAGCTTCCCTTTCCAACCAGCTCAGTGATTCCACAGAGAACAACAAGGACATTGCTGTGGGCAGAAATAAAAAGTTTGACTCTAATTTAAAAGGCAACTAATTTATTGTTTTGTTTTTTCAAGTATGCCAATATTTAATGTTTAAGAGAATCACAGATGCAAAAGGAACTTATCAAATTACCAGCGTACCTTAAGTAACAGACTTAAAATGATATCAACCACCAATTTCATCCAGGAAATCTTGTGTCTCTAGTTTCTCAGGTTAAGGCATTTGTTCTTTATCAGCAAATCCCAGGATTCTTACCTCATTTGCAATAATCTGCTTCAAAATATCTGACATTTGAAAGCTTGAGAAATGTTTACAAGCACTTTGGTATTTTCCTTTGAATTCAAAGTCACTTTTAATTTCTTCTCTTATTTTAGTATGTCCCCTGTTACCACACTGATTTCATTAGTTTAAGTCTTTCTAGTTTAAGGACCAGAGGATTTAATGTACTATTTTTATGTATTTGTTTATGTGACTGTCTTAAAGGACTCAGGTACCATCCTTCTAAGGTATACAAAGATTCAGATACCATTAGTTGGCAACAAATTTAGTTTGGAAAGGGATGAGAGAAGAGCACTTAGATTAGATAACCTTTAAGTTTCTATAATTTCTTGAATAAATATCTTGCCTTTCCTCTCTTAAATATGAAAATAGAGAGAAGGAAGAACCTGTGCTTTGCCTGCAGAGCAAACCATTCATCACTTCCAATTTTCTCACAAAAGGGACCCATGGTTACTTCCCATTACCTCTCTGCCAGGACTTCCAAGGGACTTGTTCCTAGAGACCAACTTCGTACCATCCAGGCAGAGTCCATAGCAGCTAGAAAGCCCCGGGCAATTCCTGTTCCCATTGGCCAAAAAGGCTATCAAGGAGATACAAAACAAAAAATTAAAATAAATTACCTTTTAAAAGAGAAACTAAACTAAGGAACTAAGAAAGAGTTAGCTGTTGAAAGTAGCTTTTGGCAACTGTTCAGATACTGCACTTCTCCGCTTCATAGGTCACGTCAATTGCAGCATTTCCATTGCTACTTTAGCAAGTCTGGGTTCCTGGTGGCCTGTAATGCTTCCCTATATCAGGAAATGTAACTCTTACAGGGAGTTCACCTATGTGGTATAATGTTGTAGACACTCACTCCACAACCCAAGTACCTAGATTTGTTTCCAATCACTATTAAGTGCTGCCATCCTCAATGCTCACCTCTAGGAGGCTGTCCCCAACCAGAGCCACTAGTAACTGGTGTCCGTTCTGTTCTCGCACCAAGGCGGCATTCTCTGAAGCGTACATACAAGTGAAGTCGAACATGGCCACGTCAGGCTGCCCATAGTGATTGATGGCAAAATCCAGAGATGGCAGCTGCTGCTGGGTGGAGAAGTCTGCTGCTTCCCTGGCATAGTTCAGCAGAGCCTCTTGGTCCACATTCTCCCGGGAAAGCAAGAGCTCTGTGTCGGCATAGTCCTATCTCCAGAGAGGGAAGAGGCTTGATTGAAAAGTCCAGGTACAAGTCTAGCCAACTCAAGTCACACTACGCATATTAGACATAACTGAGTTTTCACCACCTTTCCATTTCCCCTAGTGATTTTATATTCCAAAACAAGTCTTTTACACATATTACAAAGAAAAAGAGGAAGGCTGTTTCTAAAAGAGCACAGGTTTTGCTGCCTAAAAACATAGTCCTGGCTTTTCCATTCGCTTGGAGCAAGTTACTACTTCTTTGATCCTGTCCAATCCACCTCACAGAGTTGTTCTGAATACCAAATAAAATAATTATTGGTAAAATGAAAAAGCACTTTATAGTTTATGTTTCTATCAGCAATTATTACCTTCTGGATAGCAAACAGCTTTTGGCAACTGAGACCACATAAAACACTCAGCCTTGCATAACTCCACAAACCCAAAGGAAGAGAACCCCAACCTTTATTGCCAAAAGGATGTAGAGGTATGAGCGGCAGCAGTACAGAGGACTGGGAAGATATATATTCAAAATGGAGCAGAAGTTGAAAAATTAATAATAAGATTCTGAAAGCCTCCATAGAACCCCACCAACAAAGAAAAACAATAATGAGAAAAAAGGGGCTTTCCACATAAAGGACTGAAAAACTCCTTTTCTGTTTTGGAGGTTCCTGGCATACTGAGCCAAATCTTTATTCTCCGAAAGTGGAGCCTATGGTTTCAAAGCATCCCTGATGGTACTTTCAGTTACCACTACAACATGTTAAAAGCCAAAACATAAATATTCAAGTTGGCCCTCAAAACAGTGTTTGTTCACCATTAAGTAAGCGGTGAGAATGAATGTAGTACTTAGCAGCACACATAGTAGGCATGGTCCTTGCCCTCTAAAAAAAATAAACAAAAAGGAAAAGTAAATGAGGTCTTGGCATTCCAGATCGTTCCTACATTATTTCAACTGATACCATTGGACACACTGTCTATTTCTTATTGATAAAGTATTCAAATACATCTTGCTTATGCTCTTGGCAGAATGGGCTGTACATACTGCTTGGTCCTGTTTCTCCTTATAGACATAAAGGACCACAAAGTTGAGAAACAGATTCAAGGTAACAAGTGGAAAGAGGCTGTGCTGTAGGCACATGTTCATAAGCTCACCCCTACCACTGCTCTCAGATAAGGCTACAGTATACTTCAGATTAAAGTGGCCAGATTCATTAGTATCCTGCAGAGACAAAGGACACCCTGAAATTCAGCTATGAGTCTGTGGTGGGAATTGAATGGGCCTGAGTCAGCACATCTGGTGCCTCTTCTCTCCACTGCATAATGCAGGGACAGTAATTCTCACATTGAGACTAAGTCAGATTTAAGAAATTCTCCTTAAGGAACCCTCCCCTTAAGAAACCCTCTACCCTGTGGTTTTCTGATTTCATATTCAGATCCTCATCTCAGGGAATGTCACACATTTAGTCACCTAGAAAAAAGGCTGAGCAGGACCTGGCTAAGGATGAACAAGAAGCCCTCACTGTTAGGTTATGCAGAGGTCTAAATACACCCTGACCCAATCAGGGTTCCCTGGACCTCTGACAGCCACATTTATACCAGAACCATTTTCAGGCTCCCGTAAACATCAACTATTGCTTCTTGGTCAAACTCCATTCCCTCTAGCACCCCTTCCAAAAGACAACCTATTTACTAACCAATAATTGGTCATATATGAAATTCTCTAGAACCACAAATCAAATCACCTAAATTAAATTGAATATTTATTCCTGAAATATCTGAGACTTGCTTTGGAAGAATCCAATTGCAGGAATGGGGAGTGAGTTGGGTACTACTGAAACAATATTGGCCATGTGTTGATAATTGTTAAAGCTAGATAATGGGCACACAGGGGTTCATCAGATGATCCTCTCTACTTTTGTGTATATTAGAAAATTTCCATAACAAATGTTATTTTTTAAAGTTTAACTAAAAAACATTAGCATACATGTTACCAGGAGATGAGTTAGGAGCTCATTTTTATTCCCTTGCACGAAAAACTCATCTGACAATAAAATTCTTTCTCTTGGTGATCATACTAGCCAGTAAAACATAAAAAGAGGTTTGAAAGAAACCATCACTTACATGCAGTATCACACCTTTGTCCAATAAGCTCTGCTTTTTGGCTGTCATAACAAAATAGTGCGTGTCATCTTTGTAGTAGACAATGTTCTCCAAGTCGATGCCTACAATCAGAAAACAAAAATGTATGTATAAGGGTTTGCTGAGAAGAAGGTATTTTAAGGCAACCAGAGAGATTGTACATGGGTCCACAGAGACCAGGGTTGTAAAAGTCTAGGCAGGGAAAGAGAAAATAAAAAAGATGTCTGAGCCCAGATTCTCACTTATTACACATTCAGTTCATAAAAAGAGGAGGAACTTTATCTATCCTTGTACTGCTCTGTAATTCACTTGACACCCTAAGTTATCCTAAAAACAGTGATCAATAGTAAGCAGAAATATATAAGAATTGGAAGAAAACGAAAGATTAACCTCTAGTGAGATGGTCTGGGTTGGTTATCAGGTCAAGCCTCTTTTATAGTCATCAAGGCAACTGGGGGAATCTCTTAGATCAGGACAGACAACTGGATACCTGGAAGCAGAGAGTGAACTACTGACTTTTAACTTCAATTAATCTAAAAAAAAGGTGTAATGGAAATAAATCATGTTCTGAAAACAAAGAATTGGAATCTGCTGTACATTTTTGTTGCATCAAAACATCTAAGTCAGTCTATTCAAAAGCTACCATATAACAATCTCATTTCTCACTAGCACGTGGTTTACTTCAAGACCAAAGTGGAAATCAGGAAGAAGACTATACACTCAACGACTAAAGTCAGGATCTCAATAAACAAGAGTTTATCAACCAACAGGTTACTGCATTAAGTACCATCACTCAGAGCCACAGTGCAGAGGAAGGGGTTGGAGAAGACTTGGTAAAAGGCAGAATGAACACTTAAACAAATAAAAACCCAATCCAGAGTAGCCCAGCCCCTGTGATGAAGATAAAGAACATCAGAGAAGGCAGTGGTGATATAGAAAGCATTATGCTCAGAACAAAGCATGGGAGTGAGGAAAGAGCAGAGGGGTAAATGATACGCAGTAACACCAATGACAACCCACCACACAAAACTATGCAAGAGAAAGCCACAAGTAGTTATTTAAAGTTCTATCCTTATTGCTTTTAAGGCACTGACACCAACCTGTGGCTTCCCTCAGCTCCTGAAAAAATTTTTGGTTGAATATAAAAGCCACTCCACTGATCTCTTCTACTTTGGCTTCTGCTGTTGTATTTCGGTTAATAAAATTTGCTGTAATGGCAATGGCCAGTTTGCCTCGAAATTCTTTCCGATGAAATCCTAGAGGGAAAGAAATTTTCAGATGTAGCAACAGCTGGCTAGAGAGGAAGGAAGATCACTTCAAACAGGATGGGGGTATTAATGATGCCATTTGGGAACATAGGTGATAGGAACCAATGCAAAAATTTTAGGGCAGCTCTTCTTAATCTGAAAATAAGGTGTTTACCCACCAAAGAATATAACAATCAAGAAAAGAAGTCAAAGCCTCCCACACACTAACAAAAAATTTGAAATCTGACTGACCAGAATATTACTCAATACTAAGAATTCCATTTTTAAAAAAGGGAAAGCCATCTTTTTATTAAACTGAGATTTCATCCTGCAGTGCCAACTGCTCAAAGTATGGCTTGTCTCCTAGTACCCTAACAAGAATGCCCTGTAAGAAGTAGCCCAAGTACCAGTTGGCTAGGGAAGGCTGGGCCTGCCATTCAATTAGAGGAGGTGGCACATATATGCAGATTCTCTTTGGTGATACAAACTCTCACCCCGGGGTTTGGAGAAGGTCACCCTTTACTCTGCAATAAACCAGGCAAAGGAGCATTAACCAATACCTTCCAAGGTGTTCCTACGGCCATCCCCTCCAATGATCACTTCAAATTCATATTCTGACACAGGATGGGTTTTAGGGTGCACCAGTGCCCGCCAACCTATCCCTGTGGACCAAAGTCAAAATGAAGGTCATCGCCCAGATCATATTCATACATTTAAGACATCTCAAGATTCCCAGTAGGCAGACTCCAAGCCAAAAACAGGAGGTCTAAAAGCACTGGGTACAAACCACAGAAAGAAAGAGGCCTCACAAAGGAATGTTCCCACCACACGATTTTCTGTAATGAATACAAGTGCCTGCAATGCCTAATACTATCTCAAAGGCCTCCTCATTAAGTCAAAAGTTCCTCAAAAAATATTGGTTATACAAATAGAGAAGCCCTTTTTAACTAGTTCTGAAAACCACCTGCAGATTCCTATAGTTTTCTGCTTTGATCTCACCTTTTCTCACCCATTCAATGCCCTTTTATCCCTCCTCCCTTTGTCCAATCCAACTCACGTTCATTTTCTTGGTCCTCAGGAGGGTGTACAAGTCCTTGGAATTCCACATTGACATGGATTTCAATGCCTAGGATCAATGCTACTTTCAAAAGTATTAGTTGAAGCTGACGGATACCTGGGTAAACAAAAAGATAACACGCTAAGATACACTGAAAAAAGAGTACCAATTGGCAGTCACCACTTAGTTCCCACCTGTCCACCTACGTAGAGTTTATCCAGATTCTCAAATCTTCCTGTAACAGGAGACATTTTCCAAGCCATGTTCCACAGCTTCTTTCTTTATTAAGAGCAAGAAATGTTCTAGAGACACACACACAAGCCCACTCCTACCTCTTGGGTGAGATATTTAAAACAACCAAAAGCTGAGACAACATGAAATTGTGGCCAACAGGAGACCCTCCTTTCCATCTCCCCCTGATTCAGTCAGAACCACAATTATTTAGCAGAACCTATAATCCTTACAGGACATAGCAGTTACCAGAGGAGGCAGAAGATGTGCACCAGGTGTGCTTTCCAATTTGATCCAAAGGGACTGCACTACTTTCTGGGATTCCAGATATCTCTTTCATCTTATTACCTCACTGATCTTCACAGAAGTTTACAAGGTGAGAAAGGGAAACCTCAACGCAAGCTTAGTAGTCTCTTATCATTCTCCCTCCCACCACTGGTCTACAGTTGCAGAAACTAAGGCTCAAACTGAATGAAAATATTGCTTATTATCCTAGTGAGATTTATTTACTTAATATTCAGTGAGTACCTGTAAGGTGCCAGGCATGGCAGCAGCCCCAGAGATAAAGAGATAAAAATCTAGTCCCTGATGTAGGACACAGCTCCAAGACAAAGCCTGCCACACATAAGGCAGACATATCTACTGAATGAGTGACCCTTGGTCCTCTCGTAAGACCACTCCTAACTGCAGCCTGTGACTAATGTGCTAGGGGTGCATGCAAATCCTCCTCTAGATCATTTGGTTATTTTCCCCAGGTTTTACAACCTGACCCCTTCTGAGTCACATGTGCAGAGACTCATTAAACCCCATGCTAGCACGCATTTTATATTTGCAGACAACTGGGTTCCAAGACACTTTAAACAATACAGCCCAAGAGGTTGGCAGAGTGCTTCCTCTGCCAGGGGAATATGGCAGCTATGGCCAGTGTTTCATAAATTGGCACAGTCACTTCAAACAGCAAAAGGTTCAGTAGTTGAATGTATTTACAGGACACATCTGAAAGAGCTCAGAACAAAAGTTCCTCGATAAGGCTTTCCTGGAATGATAAATAATGATCATACTTCAACCTTATAATGTAGACAGTTTTCATGAACACACACAGTCATGAAAACAAAATCACCATATGCATTAACTTTTATTTACTTCAAAGCATCTCAGAAAAACATAGGCCCAAGCTAAGCTTGGAGATGACAAGAGTATAGCAAGAACTCCCCAGGTTGTAGACCTCATGAGGATCATCTAACCAAAAAAATCGCATTATTGACTTGCCATTCACCAAACTAGGAGTCTGCTTCTTCTATAGCTATGGTTTCCCCAAAATTATGCTCCCACAGTATTTTTTTCTTACATTAGTACAGCATCTTCCATATCACATTCCAAAGAACCGCATGCCTTGTGCTTCTTCCACTGGACCAAGAACCACCAGAGTCTGGTCAAGGCCCCCACTGGTCATCTACTTCCTAATCTGGTCCCAATGTCTATCAAACGATTGCAAGTGCTAAGTAAGAGTCCAAGGCCTAATTCAGAAATCCCTAAGCTAAATTCCTTATGGTTAAGAGTCCTAGGTTACAGAACCACACATGACAGGTATTTTGACTCCATGAAGAGTGTATTTCTATACAACAGATACTAATAGAACTCGTTTTACTTACTGATATGGTCAATGGCTCCAGCACAGAACTTGCCGTAGAACTTCTTGGCACCCAAACCTCGCAGATCATGTATGGTGAATGGCCAGAGATGCAAGACATTGTTGCGAGAGAAGGCATCTCGTTTCTCAATAACGACCACCTTAGCTCCCAGTAAGGATAAGTCGATGGCTGTGCGGAGACCACAGGGGCCAGCTCCAATGATGAGACACTGCAAAACATAGCTGCTTTCAGGGCAAAGACAGCATCTCTTGAGAAAGCTCACATTTCTATAAAAGTTTCATGATCCCATAATCACCATTCCCTAATGCCCCCAAATAGGACTATTCTCTCCACTTCCAACCAATCTGGGTCACAGCAGAGCATTTGTAATGCCTTGAAGAAAAGGCATGGTTGCTATGAATAAAGAAGACTCTTGTCAGTGCTGGAGACAAACTCAGCACAAGTTCACCCTGTAGATCTGCAACCTATTTAAATGGGTCATCATTTCAACAAACGGTTTAAAAATCACATCTCATCTTCCATCAATAGGAGAGGACGTTTTGGAAGGTTTCTAAGTCAAGCAGATTTCTGTCCAAGGAGACAGAGATTATTAAATACATAGTCCCTGCAACCTTAGAGTCCTGGAATGGGTCTTCCACTCAAATGATTCCCAGGAGGCAACTTCTAAGAGCCAAAGTTTTATGTGCTAAGAAGAGTTCTTCAATCATATCTTTAGATTGAAAGTTCAGAAAAATGATGTTGAAAATTCATATTTTAGAGAAGTACTCAGGGTGAGACTAGACACTTAACTAGTTTGCATTGCATGTGCAGAAAAAAAACCAGACATGCAATGTTTTTAGCTCTGAATTTCTTTTATCCTTAATAAAACTCCAGAACTCACTCATAAAAGTCATGTCATTGAATTTCTTGAATTTTGCTGATGAATATCTAACCAAATGCAAATCCACTGGGGATGGGTCTCTAGGTACCTACACTAGCCAAATTAAAACTCATGAAAGAGCATTAATAACATAGTCATGATGTCATTTGCAACTTTGTTTCCCTATTAGATTTTTCTCCCAGAAGATGTGCCCTTATATAAGCAGGAAAGCAGGAAATGCATTGTTCTTTCTCCACCTCCTCACACCTACCCTTCCTTGCACAGGTGACTGAACATCTCAGGTCTTTGCAGAGGGCCTACCTTTTTCATGAAAACACTGTTTCTATATATTGTGAAGAAACCAAAGAAATAATTTGGTTTACAAGGTCCTTGCTTAACAAAACAGACTTTTGGAATATGGATAAAACGAGGTATGAAGCCTGTGGCAAATTCCCAAGTTGGCAGATAATATCTATACCTTACTAGTTACTGAGTATGCCAAGCACAATGAAGCAGTCAGTGTTTGTACAAGATGCTAACAGGGCCTGGCTACTTCTTTGCTAAATGACCTGTATTCTCCTAACAATGTGAGATTCAAAGCAGAGCCTCAGCAAAATAAAGAAGCTGCTATACCATTTAAATTGTTCTTAAAAGGTTGAAACCCTGAATGTTCAATATATGAATACATGAAATAAGAATAAAGCCTGGCACATGAAACAGTCAAATGAACATAAGTAATGGCTCCAAAAACCTTCACAAGGTATATGGTTTGCCTTCCTATACTAGACCATGGCTTGACTTGGCCTAGTTCTCACCCAGTCAACCTCTACTTGATGCTTTTTTCTTGGCCTACCTCTACTCAAAATCCTTTCTTTTCTGGTTAAATCCTTAGGTCAATGACCCCAGGGCCTCAGAGCAGCCAAAGCCTTACCTTGGTGTTAGTGCATGCTTTTCCCTTTTTGTAGTCTTTGTGGCTGCCCCGTTTGTCCAGCTTTGCCCAGAGAGCTTTGGCTTTCCAGTAGTTGAGCTTGGACTTGAGCTTGTGATAAAAGGAGCGATAGTCCTTAGGCTTCAGTTCCAGGTGGTCACAGAGCTCTTGGAAGGCCTTAAGGGTCCCCTTGCAGGTGGTAGCCTGCACAAACCGGTCAAAGAGGGTGTGCGCTTGATTCATCATCTCATTCTTACTCTCCTCCATGCTTCCCCACCCTCAGCAGCCCCAACAAAGGGGGCAATGGGATGGCTGTTGGTCCGCCTGACACTGTCAGATTAATCTAACAAAAATAAAGAAAAAGGAATGGTAAGCAAATCCAAATTTTACCTACATTTTCTAGGAGACATAACTCTTTTTCAGTACAATTCCTAAGTGTTCTAGTCATTCATTCAATAAATGTACATTGCATACCTTCTGTACTCCAGGGACTGAGGCGTTGGGGGAGGAAAGAAGAGTATGACAGTGTTTGCTTTCAAGGATTTGTAGTTTAGTGCATTCAACAGACTCATAAACAGAATGTTAAATGTACTATGCTAAGTGTCATTAGTGAGAGAGGCACAAGGGATTTGGGAACATTAAGAAAGAGTATCTAATCATAGGGCAAGAGGTCCTCGTTGAAGATGAACCTCCAAGAAGTGACAGCTGAGTCTTTCAGGGTACGTTAAGTGTTAGCAGGCAGGAAAGAAGCAAAGGACATGGGAAAAGAAGTGAAACAGGAAGGCTTGTGAGTGACTCTTAAGGTGAAAGAGTAAAAAAATGATCCTCATGTTTCCAGGCCACTGCGTGAATGCTGACACCAGGCCAATGGACTAAAAACAAAACAACTCATTTGTGCAGGTGGGGTGGTGAGTTCCCTTTTGGATTTGTTATGTTTGCGCTGCCTTTGTGTAGGTGCTCACTAAGCAGGTGGGTATGAATTTGAAGCTTGGGGAGTAGCTGGGGACCCAGCCCCAGATTTAGGCATCATTAGCATACAGGTGGTAGTTGAACCTATGACAGCTGGTAAGATCATACGAGGAGAGTCTATGGTAAGAGAAGAGCCATGAGCTTTGAGTAAGACCTGGGACTTATACACTTGTAAGTAGCTGGCAGAGAAAGATGAGCTCTCTAAAAAGATTATGAAGCATAGTGAAGAGAGGTCTGAAGAGAACCAAAGGGCAGTGTCATTGCAGTATAAAAAGCACAAAGTTCAGAAGTGTCAGTCAGCAGGTATTTAAAGACTGAAAAAGTCCCTTGCATCTTTTTCATCATTTTTGTACCATGGTTTATTTATCACCAGTCTTTAGAAGTATAATTGGGGGGAAAGAGTCAAAGGGCCAAAGACCAAAACTAAGCCATAGGAAGAACAGAAAAGGGGGGTAAGGCAGCGAGACTCTGAGCCCACATGTGCCAGATACTGGTTGCATAACCCTGAATAAGTCCCCTTGCTCCCCTAGGCCTCAATTTTCACTTGTGTAAGATGAGGAGGTTAGGCTGGATGATCTCTAAAACTCTCTTCGAATTCTGAAGTTCTTCAAGTTTAGTTATAAGAAAACCTTCATAGTTACAGTACTCATTCCTGGTGCTATAGTCATGATGGTCCACCACAGGAGCATCATCAATTTACCACTAGTGTGACAAATAAGACTGCACTGGAACTTTGTTTTAAAAAGGATTTAATGTTGGAGATGGGGGCAGGTGGAAGAAGTGAGTTGTTGATCCACTGTGTTCAGGTGCAGAAACAAGAAGTAACCCATTATTAATGAACCAACCCAAGGGTAGTGGGAGCCACCAAACTGTGTGTGCTAATGCAATCAATTCTCAGAAGAAAGGCACCAAGTTCCAGACTGAGAACATGGAAAGAGACCCATGTTTTCTCCTGAAGCTCTTACATTGGCTAGGCCTCTGTGCAACAGAATCCCCCTTTGTGAAGTATAAATAACATTTTGCTTCTCTCCATACTTCACCATGATATAAGGTTAACCAAATCAACTGAAGATGTACCTTAAGATTCATGAGTAAAAGTTAATAACTAAATACAAAGATCTGCCATTTCCCCATTTTCGATGTCAACAGATGCACACTCTTCATGTACTTTGGAGGCCAAGTCAAAGATGGTGATTCTTTACCCAAAAGACATTGACTTGGCTTCTCCTCCCAAATATATCACTTACTCAACAACTCCTCCTGGCTTTGGATATAAAAACTAGACTACTGCCCTAGTTGGTCTGGCTCAGTGGTTAGAGTATTGGCCTAACGACTGAAGGGTCCTGGGTTCGATTCTGGCCAAGGGCACGTGCCTCGGTTGCAGGCTTGATCCCTGGCCCTGGTCGGGGCTCGTGAGGGAAGCAACCAACCGATGTGTCTCTCTCACATTGATGTTCCTCTCTTTCTCTTTCTCCCCCCCCCCC